GGCCCGGCCCGGCCCGGAGGCGCCCGCCCCGCTGAGGCGTGAAGGGCCCTGCCCGGCCCCAGCGGGGCCTCAGCGTGATAAACTCCCGGGGCTCTGGACCGGTTCCCCCCTCCCATAAGAAAAACATGTTAAACACATTGGCCTTAGCAGTGACCTTTTCCCCCAGCGCACGGCCGGAGATTAGCAGTAACATCACTGGGATCCCTGGCTCCGAACACGCTCCCGCGACCGTGGAGTGTTTCCAGCCACTCAACGACCAAGATCCCTGCTCTTGGTGGCTGTTTGGGGTTTGTCCTTTCCCTGGCAGTTGTCCCTGTTGCTTATGCTCTCCCAGCCTTGGAAGGCTAACTCTGAAGCTGTTTTTCAACATAATCCGCTCGGGAGGATGCTCGGCTTCCTCTCTGGTGGGATAGTTTTCCCTGGTTTGAGGTGATGTGCTCTTCCAGCCCCTGCTCTGTCAGGGTATGAAGCTGCCGTGCTCCTTTCTTCTCCTTAAAACATGAAAATAGCAGCAGTGTTCTGGTTTGATCCACCTTGCTTTTCCACAAGGTTTCTGTTTTTCTAGGAAAGAGCTGGCTTGGGCTTTTTGGTTTTGCTTTTTTTAAGATTAATGAACAATTAGCCTTTAGCTTCTAGGAAGGCTGAGGAGAGAGGGATAGGAGCCATATTTCCATTGCAGATCCGTGTGCATTCTTGTGCCTGCGAGCAGATTGTTTTGGCTTTCTTGCTGGGGCCGGGTCTGTGACCCAAGGCACCGGGCTCAAGTGAGGGATTCCCTTCAGCTCTGTTGTCCATCCAAGGGTGCTAAGGAGTCTCCAGTGCAAAGTGGAGAGAAAAAGACCCAATCTTTGGAGCCTGGGATGACAAAATACTGTAACGAGGTTGGCAAATAAGTAACACTTTTTTGCTCTGTGGGTATTTCTCACTGTGTGTCTGGCTGGCAGTGCCAGGAGGGCCGGGCCCGCGCTCCCCCACCGCCTCTTGGGCGTGTTTTCTGCAGGTCGACGTTGGAGCTCCCTCAGTGGCCGCGTGTCCTGTCACTGGCAGCAAGACTGTTCGGGTCCACATCTAATCCGAGCCCCTGCTGCCAGAGGAAGCAAAGCAGCAGGTGCTGCTGGAATCCAGCTGCATGCCAGGCCCCATCGTGCAAGAAGAGATTTGGGCTCTCCGGAGAGATGGGCGTTCCATCAGCAGATCCCTCCTGGAGCACCTTTCTTCCCTTCGTTCTCCACGGAAAGCGGCAGGTACCTTCTGCTTCTCGGTCAGGTTTGCTGTTCCCAAGGCCAGCAAGACTTCCTACTGCTGGGCCAGTAATCAGCTCCTGAAGGTGGTGGGATTGGAGCTGTTAAGGAAAGGCTGCTTTAATGAAACGTGCCTTGGGATTAGCAGCTGCATTTGGGAGTGATGTAGAGGACGTCTGTGTTGTCTGCCTCTAATTGGCTTCTCTTTAAACCTCCGAGATTGGCACGTCCTCCAGACGTGCCATCTTGCCTTCTATTTGTGCGTCGCTGATGTTTCCTTGACCGTCGGAATAAAAATAACAGCACTCTTCATTGCCAAGCATGTGGCATCTTCTTGAGGAACGTTGTAAAAACGGGAAACTTCTGGAATGTAGCCGTCTCCCAAGGAGGAGGGGGGTGGGAATGAGAAGGCAACGGCGCTCTTATAACACTGCCACACCAGGAAAACATCACTGTGAGAAACAGCCTGAGATGTGGAGACTTTGCATAAATCCTGGAAGGTCAGCTGGAATTTTTGATTTTTCTTTTTCCTACCAGTAAGCTAAGAGAGGGACAAGGGAGAAGGCGTTAACCCTTAGTGGCGGGCACAGTCCCAAGGCAGCACGAGTTGTGCAGCAGCACGAGGAGAGCCGGCCACGGGCTCGCTGCAACGCAACGCGCTGCGCCTGCCCCGGCCCCCTCCGCTTGCCACCGCTGAAAGAGCCTCATGCACAAAACTTATGTGCAGTTTCAGTGAGGTTTATACAAGCAGGAAAGCTTTGTGATTCCTATATGTGCTTTCTTGCTCTTATCTTTGAAGCCATGTGGAACATCCCGTCCTTCCTGCTCCTTTGTATATATAAATATATCGGATCTGTATTAGATCCCCTATAGGGCAGGATGAAGGTTAGTTTTGTATTGCCTGTGGTAGGCATCGGTACTTCGGTTTTGGGAGCTGGCCAATTTGATTAATGCTGAGAAATTCTTTAAGAAAGAGTTAATCAGCCCAAGTCTTAAAGTGCACGTGGGCCTCTTGATGCCAGAGCCTTAATGGTCAGCACTGCCATGAGAGCGGTGCTTGTAAACGTGCACAAGGGCCTTGCTATGGAGGAACAAAATGCAGCGATATTCGTGGTGCTGCTCGCTGCTGGTAGAGCTGACACAGCTGAGCAGGGAGAGAGCTCGAGCCTGTCCCTGTGAAAACAGATGCATCTTTCTGTGGTTTCAGCTTTTTTATGTAGTGGGCAAATTTATCCTCCACGTGTAGTCTAAATGAGACAGTTCTGTGTTTTCTCTTAAATCTAAATGAATGGTCCCAGCCATCTCTGTCTGAAGCAATACTTTTGCTATGGTGATAATGGATAAAATTACCGGTCTAGATTTAAGATATAGAAAATACTTATTTCCCAGATTGTTTCATACACAGATTTTGTTTATGTTATTTTTAAGGGATTATAGAAACACATGTATGGCTCAGAGCACTCATTTTCTCATCTCCAGAGAGGCCACTGTCCATTTGAGGACAACAACAGAATTAAAATGCAAATTTGGCTTTAACTTTAAATGCTAAGTCCATAAAGCAAAGCTCAGATATAAATTTGAATATGAAAAAAAATCAATTGAGAAAAATGATACCAAAAATACTTTGGAATCAGTTGCTGTTACTAGGTTATTTCTTAACCTTCTCCCAAATTATATTTGTGCAATTGTCTTTTTTTTTTTCTGTATCATCACATATTGCTAGCATTATTTTTCCTAAATAGAAAACTTGAATGGAAGATATCATGTTAAAAAACTTCAAACAGATCTTGAAAGTGGAGTTTGCAATTTTTTTTTTTTGCTTGCCTCCTCCTTACAGAACTGTTTCATGAAGTTTATTTCAAGATCGTGGTCAGGCTGAGTTTAATGACACAGAGTAACTTTTTCATTGCTTCCTTTAGAAAGCCATTCCATAGCCTACTAGATTGTCCCTAATAAGACTTTTGTTTTGCCCAATTAAAGGTCTAAAATTTTCCATTGCTTAATTTTATGTCGTTGCTCGTCATCATAGTATACAACCTTTAAGAGCATGCTGAGTCTCAATTTGTTATCTTTAAATACATGTATCCTAATCCTTTTAGTCTTCCTTTAGCCAGGCTCTGTGCGTTCATTTTATTTGCCTTCTTTATATACAAAATGTTATTTTCCACGTATGTTACATATATATCTCTGGCAGTTTATTATTGGTTTTGGGTGTGTGTTTGCTTTTCCACTAATTTCAGTTCAGTGTTTTCCAACCCTACTTCCCCCCAGGTTATTGCCAAGGAGGACTTGAGCCCTCCTTGCAATTCAAGGAAAAACGTACAATATTCAACCTAGAATGAGTAAGTACTGAGGAAGACTGGGCTAAGCTGAGATGTAAGCCCAGGGATTTTTCTAGAAAAGCACAGGTAGATTTTCAGAGTCGAAGACAAGATAGTTTTGTTTTGTTTTGTTCCTTTTAGTGTCAATGGAAATCATGGGGACTTACTATCTACAGAACAGCAACAATGGCAGTTCATTCGTTGTAATTCCCACGTTATTACAGAACCCTTCCCCCTCATCCTGGTTCAGTTTTTCCAAGTATTAGCAAGGCTTTGAGCAGAGGTACAGCTGAGGCGAGATTAAGCTACCAGGATCTTGAGTTTTTATGTGTGTTCTAGGACTTTGAGCGAAAACGTCTATTTTTTTGTTTGCTTGTTGAGACTTGCCGAGCCAGCTGCCTGCTTTTGAAACCCTAGGACCCTTTAAAAGTCTGTGTTTTGGCTTTCCCGACATGAGAACACCATGAAATGGCACTACTTGCGGAGTGATGGCCTCTAAACGAAGTCACATTCTGGCTTCTCTTGGCCCACTTTCAAGAACAGCCTCATTTTCATTATTCTCCGAGTGAGAAACCCAGAGCCTTTGAAGCTTCCTCTGGATTTTGGTATTCCCCACCACCACTTCAGTCATCCAAATCTTTTGCTGTGTCCTGGCTCAGCGTTGGAACTACAGCAAACAGCAGTGTACAGGCCAGGTGGATGTAGCTCATATGGAATTGCAAGGGAATGGGGATTATAGTAGTTCAGTGCTTTCATGTAGCTTGTTTTCTAACGATTAGGAGTGAATATGTGGGTACTGAAAGACTAAGTTCATTAATATTTGTAAAATCCTTTAAGAGCTTCCCATAACTCCCAAGAATGTTATGATAGAGGTACATGATAAAATTATTTTCAGAGGAAAAACTCTTTAAGGACCATCTATGCTGTGACATTTAAGGGAAGCCACCTTATTAATGATGGAGAGGTTTCAAGGCACCTGAATGAGAGATAAGGAAGCTTTTGTCATTAAACTCAAATTAAATTGTACGTTTGATACAAGCTTCTCCTTTAGTATTATGGTCCCTAGATTGAAGGTTTTTAGTGTGATGTCTCCATATGCATTTAATAGTGTTTAACCTGTGCTAAACACAGTTTTAACACAATTTAACACAGGTTAAACACTATTAAAAGTGTTTATTAAAGGTGTTTAACCTTTTCTGTTTGGTACTCAGGGAGAATCTTAAGTTTAACATGGAGAAAACTGCTTAAACTGCTTAAAACAAATGTTTAAAAAATACAGTAGTATTAAGGTAGTACATATGAGAAAGTAAATTAACCTACATTTCTTACATATCCTTCTTGACATGTTTTATTGCTCCTTTCACTCGAGGCAGGATCAATAGTAAAAACCTGCCCTGACTGCAGGGCTCCAGGTTTGTGCTGTCCTGTGGGTATGTGAGCGACCAGTGTTGAGACCTAAAGAGAAGAGAAAACCCCCTGTAGCACATGAAAGCCGGGCTTGTTTTGCCTGTCACTTTCTTTTTCTTCTGAAGTTATTTTCTGTCCCTCGAGATGCCGGTAGCAGCAGGCAGCGCCATTCCGCTCGGTTCCCGGTAACAGCGCAGTGCCCTGGAAATGCTGCCCCAGGCTTCCCAGCTTTCTCCCCACTGTGCCCGAGCCCTGAAAATGGGAAGAGTTTCCTGTCTCCGCTAGAACAGTGGCTCTGAGAGACCTTTGCTTGTTGTGCCAGTGAAAAAAGTACTGCTTCCTTGTGAGCGGGCTAGAGATAACAGTTACAGCCAGCAGATGGTTCGAGACACGAGGCATTATTTGCAGCAGTCTGCCTGGGGTTTCTTCAGTTTTCTCTTCTTGCATTTCTGGTTGTGGTTGGAAGCTCCAGCGTTTGCTGTAACGGGTTAATCCAGCCTTTCACCCGGGCACATGTAGTGCGCCGTGTTGGCATTTAGGCTTCTCTCAAGCTGACAGGAACAAAACTGAGCTAATCTTCCGTCACGACACCATTTTTTAACCATCTTTCAGATAAGCTGTTCAGCCACTGGCAAGAAACCTTTCCTTGCATCCTAGTGCCCTGCCCATACGCAGTGACCTGAGCAGTCCTGTCTGTCACCATTCCAGGGCTTCCCTTTGTTTGTTCCTTCAAGCATTCCCTCCTGCCCACAGCACAAGGTTGCGGGAGCCCAGGAAATCATATCCCTTCTGCAGCACTGGGCTCTCCTGCGCCTTATGTAGTGTAGCAACGTAACTCTATTGCCATGGATGCCAGATCCAGGCATGCAGAATTTATTTAACCAGTCAAGTAGTTAAGGAACACCAATTCCAGCTACAGGCAGCTTGCAGTATAATGTGGCTACAGCTAAAAGATATTCTTCAAGTATTTCCAAGGGAGAAAGAATTAAAAAAAAAAAAAAAAGTAATTATTTATTTATGGCCTGTGTATTGACTGTAGTCTGAAAGCAACAGGGCAAAATTATTCATAGAATTACAGAATCCTTAAGGTCGGAAGGGACCTAAAGAGATCATCCAGTTCAACCCCTCTGCACATGCAGGGTCACCTAGAGCATGGAGCACAGGATTGTATCCAAGCAGGTTTGGAAGATCTCCAGATCTTCAAATTCTCCAGATCTCTCCAGATCTCTCTGTTTATTCTTCTCCAAGTTGTTTTCCACGGAGGCAGCACACCCC